AAGCAAGGCGCACACCTGCCCCATGAACACAAGATCATTTCAGCCAGCGAAGCTGCAAGGAAACTACGGCAAGAGATAAAGTCACTCCGCAAGTTAGGTGCCGAGGAGAATGGGGATGGGGCGTCCGGTAGCCCACAATCAAACATGGCCGATAAGGAAGATGAGAAAAGGCAGTTGAAGTCAGCTTTGGAAGCCGTCAATCATTCAATCAGTGCATTGAACAAGAGAGCTGAGTTCGTTTCTCAAGCAGTTAATGAGTCTTTCAGTCAAGCAATGGAGTCCGCAAAGAAACGTCAACAGGCCCTGATTGACGACATCGACAAAGACCGTTGGTCAAAGCAGAAGGCGCTTGAGGATCAAAAACAGCAGCTGGAGCGTGCCTTGGAAGCAGGCGAGCAGGTGGATGTTTTGCTTGATCGCTGCGAGAATGACTTAGATTTCTTGCGGATGGCTCCTTGGCTTAACCGACTCCACGTTGAAATCAGCTCGTGTAAAGAGCGGAACGCACAGCCGGCGGCATCCGGTCATGTTACATTCAAGAAGAGCAACATTGCCGAGCTGCAGCTTCTGGCGTCGAAGGCCGGTGAGATACAAGACGTAGCTGTCAACGTATCAAACAGCACAGTGACGTGTCAGTCCGTCCTCAAGACTCCCGATGACTTGGATGTGACGATCAAAGCGAAGACCGTGAATGGAGAACCACTCTCCCCGGCCATAGCAAACCAAATGGAGTTCTGCATATCAGTAAAAGCCGAAGAAGGGGAGACAGTGTACTGTGAGGTCGAGCCTGGAGGATCTGCAGACGAGCTGAAGGCCAGCCTGAAGAACCCAACACCGGGAACATATCATGTGTCGGTCACAATGGGACACAGACATCTTCAAGGTAGTCCAATGAAGGTTGAAGTTACTGATCAAGTCCATGCTCCGGGTTTCAACCCTAATCAGCGCGGCAACTACCTGCAATTATCAAACAACAACCAAACTGTGCAGATGACAACATCCGGCCAGTACCAGAGTGTGTGCAGCATGAAGTCCGGGTCAAAGGGCCAGCTCTTCTTCAAAGTCCGCATTGATCAAATACATGCCAGCTACAATCAAATCCTGTTGTCGGTGTCTTGCAAAGACCCACCTAACGTGAATGCCCATGACGCCACAAATGCCTATGGTTGGCGTCTATACAGTGCGAACAGTGGATACGGTGGTGGACTGAGCCCTACCATACAACAAGGTGATGTGGTGACTGTGATGCTGGATTGTGATCATTCTACGGTTACGTTCACCCTGGAGCGTACGGGTCAGAGCCAGATCATTCGCAACCTCACCGCCGGCACTTACTACCTCTATCTGTGCCTGTATTGGGGCGGTAGTGGTAGTGTTCCCCAAGTCACGCTATGCTGATTACTGTAGGTGAAGTATATTACTGTCTGATCAAGGCACACGTTGTGAACCATGATTTTAGTGATGTATCCGCGTAGATTATGTTCATTTGCCTACAAGCTAGTATCCAGCCATACTGCATTCCACTATCAGCTAGCACTCTATGAGGTATTGTGACTGCAGGTTAGAAGCGCTTCGAGCTCCTCTCTCAGTGCAGACAGCTACAGGGGAACAAGTACCTCCTATGTTACCATGGTAATATTTTTTAAACACCTGTCTAGCCATGGCAACACGTAACCAACTCTCGTCAGAGCATTGCTGCTTCTTGATCACACCTCCAATGAAGTTCACACCGTGTGTCTCGTATACCGTAATGGATCCAGCTAGCGACCCCAGCAGTGAAGTCACATACCCACATGTACATGTACATCGATTTTCTATGGCTCAATTACATATAGTGCAATACTAGTGCAGTGTACAGTCACAATCCAACATCCAAAGTATGTACTGATACGTTTTTTGAGGAAGTTTACTTATTTATGCTGTTGCCTCTTGTCTGCTCCGTGTGCGGCTGGTTGGGTTCTTTTCTTTAACTTTGCGTTCTTTTCATTTGCTTGGAGTTCTTTACATTAAAAAGATGCGAATTATGTCACCTAGTATGCTTTTTTGGCGCTACACTCTGCGTATATACTGCTCTTGTGTGGCTTCCACGTGACGGTATTCATTGTTATTACCTGACGATGGCCAAGTGCCGAAACGTTGTAAAAATAACGAAACTGGTTCGGATGTGATGTGCAGCGCTATGGGAATGGGTGTGTCCACCCGAATTCTTTTCACAGATGAAGCTGCAGGAAGCCTCAGCCCTTCTTCAAGCAACTTAAAAAGCCGGCTAAAATAATTCCAGACCATCCCTACTTGTACAGTAGGTCGATATTACGGGAAGGTGTGTCTACAAAGACAGTAGACGGCACTCCTCCAGAAAATTAATTACAAAACCCTGGATCGCCTACGCAAATACGAAGCCCGGCAACCGCGGAAATAGGTGACGAACCACCTGACCAAAACGAAAGAGATCTTTATGACCAATGAATACTGCAAGCCAGAATGATGCATGACAATCAAGCCGACCAAGCCCGCAGATATTCGCGCCCACACAGGCCATTGGTACTGAAGACCAAAGGTGTGAATGCACGTCTCTCAACATCCACTACTAGTACACGCTGCAGATATGCTCGCTCCTTCTGGCTTTCATTCCTACTCCTAGCTAGACATTTGTGCAAGAAGTAATAGTTGCCCCTATTGGCCTATATTAGCTTTAACATAAAAAATGCATCCTGCTGTCGAGACCAGGCTGAACCTCTTGTCTTGCACAGATGTCCAACCTCGCTTCGTCTCTTCACTGGCATTGTAGTGTTAGGGGAAAATCCCCCCAAATGCTATCACTGGATACACTGCACAAATGGGTCACGGAGAACTGATTTACACTTGCTCTTGCTACAAGCGCAACTTTCTACTAAGCACTAGTACTACAATGTAGTAGTATACGTCTTGTACCTACTGCTGTACTAGTAATAGACCATTTGACAAAATAAAGTAGGGGGGCGTAAGGGGGCAAGGCATGGTCTATAGGGGGGCCCTATCGTGCATGAGATCGCGCGTGGACCGTGCACACTGCACAGTGCAGCGTGCAAGTACAGTGTGTACGTGGTGTACTGCACGGAGATTTCGTGTGCTTGTTGCAATGTTGGTGCCGGTGGCCGTGTTTCTTGTTTTTGTTTTGAAATGATTTGGTTGTAGTTCAGTCGGTAGTTTTCCTTCGCCTCACGATGCCATCGCACGACCACTGCTCTGTGTTTGGCTGCTCAAATCGCCGATCAGATCAACGAGATCTGTCTTTTCATAAGTATCCCAAAGATCCCGACCTAAGGGCGAGATGGGTGCAGGCATGTAAGCGCGAAGAGGGAGCGCATTTCACGATCTCATCCAGCACTGTTGTTTGCAGTGAACATTTCAGGGAAAAAGACTTCCATCCAGATCTACCCGGGCTGCCTGCATTAGCTTCTGGGAAGCCGCATCGTCGTTTGAAGCAGGAAAGCATCCCCAGTGTTTTCTCCTTTCGGCGACCACCAGCCGAGAGACCCTCTCGTGCGGATCGTCGAAGTGCTGCACTTGTTCGTCATTCTTTACTAGAGAGGCTCGATGTCGAGCCAAAAGCCAAGAAGCCGCGGCGAGGAGAAAGTGAGAGTGAGTTTGAGTATCGTGTCGGAGGCTGCCGAAACTGAAATCCAAAATCTAAGCACCAGTAACACAGCAAACACATGAGAGCAGAGCCCACCATCTCCACCAGCAACACAGCCCTCACACACACAGCAAAATACAGCACAGCACTATCATTTTTGGCGTCATCTGTGAACACAAGTCGCAAGCTGTACTTGGTAGACTTTTTCTGGGTTGCCCAGCACTTGGCTTCGATAAAAATCTCGGCCTCCACACAGCACACACTAACATCGTGATTGTATCCACCAAAATACAGCTCGTGTCCCCGATCTAGAGGCCTCTTGATGATGAGTACATCATGGCTCTCACTGGTGCGAACTTGCTTTCCAGTAAGCAGCAAATGCGACAAGATCGTGGATGCTGTTACACGAGGAAGTTTCGATCTGTCTTGGGTCCAGCCAGAGTCAGGAAATACTGGTGCTGAAGTGCGCGTGGCGACGGGAGCTGCATCACGGGTCGACCGCTTGCTTCTTGGTGCTTCGGGATTGGATTTGTAGAATAACGCCCTGGATGTAGAACAAATGTCACGCGCAGTTCGTGAGTGAGTGTAGGTAAAAAAAATCAGTCGACGAAGCCCCGTATGAACGACCTCGTAAGTAGCTCCGCTTTCCGTCCTGTCAACAAACCACCCTGCTTTCGTAGATAATCTCTCAGCTGCTTTATAGTCCAAGAAGGCTGAGGAACCTCTTCTACCAGCTCTCCGACTCTGCCGTCCTCACCCTCCTGAGCTCTGTCTACTCGAAAAAAACAAAACCAGCAAGAAAGTGTGTACTTTGTCTGCTTGACCCAGCGCTGCTGCATGCGCGCTGCTAGCTGCAGCGCTGGGTCACCTGACGCCCCCCTAAGCGTAAGCTTGCCCCCTTTCGGCCCCCCTACTATTATTTGCGCAAATGGTCTATTGCATGGTCTGTCGGTGACAACATTCGTAACCAAGTAAGTTTCGAAACCTATCAAAAAATTTGAATGCCTTTACAACCTGAGTTTGTTTCGATACCTGCCTGCCAAGTACTTGAACTAACTTACTTGAAGTAGTAAGTGTATAGTTGCACAATACGATTGTTTTCGATTTCGATTGAACAAAACGAAACCTTTTCGGTTTCTTATCATTGCTTTGCATGCATACCTCACGGTGTGTTTATCGGGCCAGGCCTCACTTGCACTTCTGCGTACGAGAGAGAAGAAGCAAGAAATGTCGCTTCAGGTATTATCCAAAGAATCCAAGTTGTCGGATCTGTGCGTGTTTTGCAACAGAGCACTGCAGAGAGGTCGCCTGCTATCATGCTTGCACAATATCTGCCTGCGCTGCCTTCGCGAGGAAATAGGTGGAAGCAATGATATTGCCTGCCCGCGCTGTTCAACCGTTACGCCTGCGCCGAAATCTGGAATTTCGCAGCTGCTTGCCCTACCACAATGTTACAATCATCCCATGGATGATGGGAGAAATGATTCTGAAGCGGGGCTAGAGAAACCAATGTGTGACGAGTGCGTGGATGAGAAAGAAGCGGCGAAAGCATGTGTGGATTGTGGCCTGGTGTACTGCGTGTTGCACGCCCAGTCGCACACAGCCAGCCGAGGCACGCACAGTCATACCCTAACTGACGTCAAAAAGTCAGGTGCTACCAGCAAGAAGATCAGCAGTAGATTAGTATTGCAATGCAGCGCTTGTCCTCTGCATGGAGCTATCCAGCTGGACTTGTACTGTGAGGAATGTGCTGAGCTGTTCTGCAAGCAATGCTTGAAGCAAGGTGCACATCTGCAACACCAGGACAAGATCATTTCAGCCAGTGAAGCAGCCAGGAAGCTACGTCAGGAGATCAAGTCCTCACGCACACTGAATGCTGATGCTGAAGATGCTGCTAGCAGTGCTTGCGATGCCACCATATTGGAGGAAAAAGATAGGAAGGTCAAGCTGCAATCTAGCTTGGATGCTGTGAAGAGCTCACTGACTACCCTGAGTACAAGAGCAGAGGTTGTCTCAGAGAAAGTCAACAAGGTGTTTGGCCTGGCCATTGATGCTGCAAAGCAGAGACAGCAGTCCCTGATAGGTGACATTGACAAAGACCACTGGGCTAAGCAGAAAGTCCTGGAGGATCAACAACAACAGCTTGAGTGTGCTCTGGAAGCAGATGAGCAGGTGGACGCCTTGATCAATCGCTGCGAGAATGATTTAGATTTCCTACGAATGGCGGGCTGGCTGAAAAGGATTCAAGGCGAAATTGGGTCTTGCCTGCAGAAGAATTCTGAACCCGCCACATCTGGCTATGTTGTATTCATGGAAAGCCATGTAGCCGAGTTGCAGGTGTTGGCATCAAAGGCTGGCACAATCCTGGACACTGGCATTGATATCTCCAAGAGCACAATGACATGCCCAGAAAGTATTTATCCGCCTGACGACCTCAACATAGCAGTTAGGGCAGTGAACCAGGATGGCGAACCCATGGGCAGTGCTCTTGCAGCTGAAATGCAATTCGAAGTGTCAGTGAAACCTGATGAGGGAGATGCTGTTGCCTGTAAGATAGAACCTGGATCATCTGCGGACGAGCTGAAAGCCAGCCTGAAGAACCCAGCGCCGGGAACATATCATGTGTCGGTCACAATGGGGCACAGACATCTTCAAGGTAGTCCGATGAAGGTTGACGTTGCTGATAAAGTCGACACTCCTGGTTTCAACCCTAATCAGCGTGGCAACTACATCCAATTATCAAACAACAACCAAACTGTCCAAATGGCAACAGCAGGACATAACCAGAGCGTATGCAGCATGAAGTCTGGGTCAAAGGGCCAGCTCTTCTTCAAAGTCCGCATTGACCAAATGCAAAGCAGCTACACTCCGATTCATTTGTCAGTGTCCTGCAAGAACCCACCTAACGTAAATGCCCATGATGCAACAGGTGCCTATGGTTGGCGTCTATACAGTCCGAACAGTGGATACGGTGGTGGACTGAGCCCTACCATGCAACAAGGTGATGTGGTGACTGTGATGCTGGACTGTAATCGTTCTACGGTTACGTTCACCCTGGAGCGTACGGGTCAGAGCCAGATCATTCGCAACCTCACCGCCGGCACTTACTACCTCTATCTGTGCCTGAATAATAGCGGCAGTGGATATACACCCCAAGTCACTCTATGCTGATTGTTGCAGGTGCCACTGATGCTGTACTCGGTGGTGTAATGCACATTGTACTACATCATTGGATGATCATCGATGAGTTTCTGGGGAAAGTCTTTGCAATCATAATAATTATGTATTGTTCTTTTAGGGTAGATTGTCTGTCCTCCTACGTTTTCCCTATTGTTATTTCTGCTTCAGCGCCAGCCCGCAAACATGATAGCTTTCAGCCATGTCTCAGTGTTTATGTTTTCAATTCATGCGATCACGCGATTATTATTATTATAGCTTCCTCTCAGTAATTCTCACCTTGCTTCCTCTTATGTTCAGGCTGCCCGTTTTGGAGCCATCTGTTGCCTGACGATCGTGTCTACGTGAAACTTGGAGTTGCAACACAGCGTCCCTTCTCTCTCTCTCTCTCTCTCTCTCTCTCTCTCTCTCTCTCTCTCTCTCTCTCTCTCTCTCTCTCCCTCCCTCCCTCCCTCCCTCCCTCCCTCCCTCCTTCCCTCTCTCTCTCTCTCTCTCTCTCTCTCTCTCTCTCTCTCTCTCTCTCTCTCTCTCTCTCTCTCTCTCTCTCTCTCTCTCTCTCTCTCTCTCTCTCTCTCTCTCTCTCTTTCTCTCTCTCTCCTTTTGTTTGCAGTTCAATCTATTCGGCTATACCCGGCACTTAGTCGCTCTGCCATTTCTCCTTTATTATGCATAACAATACTCACAGGTTTCGTCTTTTGCCCTTTCGGACTCCTTGAACTTGTCTTTTGCGCTTAGCACCAATGCTATATTTGGTGCGCTTTGCACCAATCCTACCTGTATCTTTAGCACTTTGCCACAATCATTTATGTTGCTCTTGACATAGATCCCATCTTTTGTGTGCTGACTGCATTTCCACTTTGTTCCTTTGCTTCTTCTGTAGTATGAAGTACATGTATGGCAGCCATTAGGTATTTACTAATTAGCGTCCACTGTTCACATGCGTGTGACTACTGTGCAAGTGTAGGTTGAACAGTGATGGCTGCCACCTACATTGTACATTGTGTGTGACTGTGCAGTAGGTATGGTTGGCGTGGTGTGCATGTGGCCTCTGCAGGTGCAAACCTGCTAAAGCTGGTCGAGTTTCTACATGCAATTTGTATTGCCTGACTTATCCCCTGCAGGTGAACAACAGTATTGCACTGGAACCGTCTTTCTGACATTGCCGGTCCATGTGTGCAATTCTATTGAGCCAAGTATACTTGTAAACTTTATCCTTCAAAGGTGTTCTTTTTGTGGTTCTTCTTCCCAGAATCAAATGCTGGTTTTTGTACACTGTGAAACTACTCAGCGTTATTAATTTTGCATTTTAAAATCATTGAAATAAATAAGTAAGTGACAAAGCAGATGTAAGAAGTGTATTTGTTCATCTTTTACTTCGTCAGTAATACTTCAGTATAATCCGTAGGAATGTTGGTTGCTCACATTCTGGAGTTTGTGCTACTCCTGCTGTCTGATATGACACTGGATGGGGGTCACGACTGGCATCCGGGGAACACACAGCGAACTCACCAGTCCTCTTGTACTGAAAGGATTACAGTCATGTCACTAGTGGCACTACCCGAGACACAGTGTAAGGACCAGAGCGTGGGCTCCTTGCAGGCTTAAGTTAATGTGGCTCTTAATGGGTTAAGGGGGGGGGGGGGGGCAGCCTGGTCGTAAAATCCCTGAAAAATCGAATTTGTAAATTCATATCGAGTGCTACATCAGTTGAAAGAGCATGAATAGCTGCAAAATCTCTGAAAATGTTGTCTCGATCTGACCAGCCGTTCAAGAGTTATGGCCGAAAATGTTCCCTTGCAAGGAAAGATTTTTTGTTGCACGCTGTCATTTTTTGGCAGCACTGTATTTGAATGTGAGCAGACCATGCGCAACTTGTCGTATCATGGAAACACGCGAAAGTGTGCAGAAGTTTGCTCCAAGTCCAAAAATCACGTTTTTTTAGCCATGTATTGGGCTGCACGGCGGCGGGCTTTGGCAAGTTTGAGTCGTGTCAAGAAGTCAGGTAGGATTCAGTACTAGGCACCGGCGGATTATGCCGGCATAATTATTGGCATAATTTGGTGGTTGAAAATTTGGAGCATAATTTGGCATCCTCTCGGAGGTAGGAGCATAACTACACGATTATACCACAGTTCTAGTATGTAGGCTATACAATTGTGTACAATGCACCTGATCAGTGCTGGTGGTCTGCATGGCAAAGGGCTCGGAGGTTATGCAGATAGTGTTTTCAATGAAAAGCGAAACGGAAGGCCTCCTTCTAGCAGACGCCTCAAACGCGTTCAATTGCTTGAATCGTGCTGTATATCTGCAGAACATCCAGCATCTTTGTCCAGCCATGTCACCAGTTGTTATCAACACTTACAGGCAACCCGCACAGCTCTTTGTCGGTGGAGAAGTCATCCTCTCTTCCGAAGGTACCACGCAGGGGGACCCGATTGCAATGCCTCTCTATGCTCTCGGTGTTCTTCCTTTGCTGCAGTCAGTCTCTACTGCAAATACTGTGCAAGCCTGGTTTGCTGATGACTCAGGAGCAGGTGGCAAGCTGATGCCTTTGCGTGCATGGTGGCATAGCCTAACAGAGCAAGGTCCTGCCTACGGCTATCATCTCAACCCGTCCAAGTCGGTTCTCCTGGTTAAACCGGAGCATTATGATCGAGCAGTGGAGATGTTCGCCGACACTGGAGTTGACATCCGCGTCGATGGTTGCCGGTACCTGGGTTCGGCTATTGGTACGCCTGCGTTCCTGGATAGCTTTGTTGAGCAGAAGGCAACAAGATGGCTCAACCTCGTGGAGAAGTTGTCCTCGTATGCGGAAACGCAACCACAAGCTGCATACGCTGCACTCACCCAAGGCCTGCAGAATAAGTGGTCTTTCCTCTGCCGCACCACACCAACAGCTGCAGCTGCTCTGACGCCTGTGGAGAAGCTGCTAATGGAGAGGCTCATCCCCGCTCTTACCGGCCATATTGTCAACTCGGAGGAAAGGTCAATTCTTGCGCTTCCATGTCGTCACGGAGGGCTCGGGCTGGGCAATCCCGTGGATCTCGCATCCCAGTATGATGCATCGCGAAGGGTGACTGAGTCCTTGCAGACCAACATCAAGCTGCAGACTATGGCACTCGGCTCTGCAACCAGTCTCGTTCGTACTGCCAAGGCGGAGGTGAGGATAACAGCACGGAATGCTGTCAAAGCCCAAGCCCTGCTGCTCCGCTCCAGTGTGCCGGAGGCCAAGCAGCGTGTAATCGACCTGGCTGCGGAGAAGGGCTCTTCCAGTTGGCTGACCTGCAGGCCCTTGAAGCGCCATGGATTTGCCCTCTCCAAAGCGGAGTTTCGCGATGGAGTGCATCTAATTCTAAGGTACAACTGGCAACCACAGCGCATGCCATCAGGGTGCGTTTGTGGAAGCCAGTTTACTGTGGCCCATGCCCTCTCGTGCCCCACCGGCGGTTACCCTACCATCAGGCATAACGAGATCCGCGATGTGACCGCTGGTTTCTTGAAGCGTGTTGCCACCAACGTATCTGTAGAGCCTCATCTGGAGCCCCTGAGTGGGGAGCAGCTGCGCTATCGCACCGCCATCCGCGACGACCAGGCTCGCTTGGACGTAGCAGCAAATGGAGTGTGGGGAGGGCGGTTCGAACGCACCTTCTTCGACGTCCGGGTGTTCAACCCTTTTGCGTCTTCGAACCAGTCCTCCTCCATTTCTGCCACCTACGTTCGCCATGATATAGCGAAGAAGAGATCGTATGAAGAGAGGCTGCGGGAGATCGAGCATGCTTCATTTGTCCCGTTGGTCTTCTCGACAACCGGTGGCATGGGCAAGCAATCTGCCTCGCTTTACAAGCGAATTGCATCTCTCATTGCTGAGAAAAGCGACGAACCGTATTCGGTTGTTATGTCATTCATCCGCTGCCGCCTTAGCTTTGCGTTGCTCAGAGCGAGTGTCATGTGCCTGCGTGGTAGCCGCTCTGTTTTCGCTGTACATGCACCTGTCTCTTCTTCTGCCTCCCTAGTTGCTGCCGAAGCTGGCACTTCCCGTCATTAATTTTATAGTCTTTAGTTCTTTAATATTATTATTTGCCATGGCGACCCCCGTAAGCCCAAATAGCTGGCAGGGCAGGGTTGGGCCTTTTTTTCTTTTGCTTCACAGGTGTAGCATTTTGTCAGTCATTAAAAAAAAAAGTTTTCAATGAAAAGCAGGGTAGAAATCATGGCAATACATTATTGTATGCTCAAACTCGTCTTCTTTTAGTTCTTTCTCACACTGACACAGTACATGTAGCAGAAGATGCGAGTGAATCAGCCTTCATCAGGTTTCCCGGGGCGGACGAGATAGTGGCGGGTAGTCCGCATAAAAAGGGATAACTCCGTGTACATGTACATTACATTTGTACATTATGCCATGTTACGAAGTCATGACCAGTCTGGATTTTAGCAGCCATGATATTGTAGTATCCCTGACTGTCAGTAATCACACAGCCAAATCTCTACCAGTAGTTACATTGTAGTTCACAGGTACATTCTATCTAAGTGCTTCTCACGCGCAACCACTTAGGACTAGATAGCCCTGCTTGCAAGACCGGTACGGCCGCATGACCTATTGGCGTATTGCGTTCATGCTGTACTAATACATTACATTGATTCCTGTATAGTCCGTTCCCCATCACTGACCCTCTTGCATCCCTTGCGAGATTCCTTCCCGGTTCTAGGCATCCAACAGCTTTCTTCCCCGAATCCATGTTATTGTTCAGCCCTAGCTCACACACATTCAAAGGGCTTTTCCTTAGATCTTTCAACAGTTGTCTTCCTAGTAATCTGTTGCCCTCGCTCCCAGCTGCTCTCTCCCTCTGGCCTATATAAACCCATCATTCTTTCTCATTGCTGTGTGGAATTATGAAGTGAAGAGTTTAAGCCCAAGAGCTTGTTTTCCTCCCGCTAGTGCTGTCACTGTCAGCCTGTATCACTTTCTGTTGTAAGCCTAAAGTGCCTCAGAC